TTTGGAATGGTCGTCTGTGCTGTAATCGTCAGCATCGACACTATTCTGGCACTGTTTGTTCTCAGTGGTACTGCCACACCACTTGGGCTCACCCGATAGCTGGTACCACACTTCTTGGTTGAAATGCTTGAATCCGAAAAGCTGAGGAGGGAGATGGGGCACGATATCCTGCTTGTAGGTGACACGGTATATCGGGAAGCCGCGATTGCTCATCCATGTAGCGAACTCCTTGTTGCCAACTCGCGGCTGACCGTATGTGAACAGCTGCATCTGCTTGGCTCTGCTTGGGGCATTCTGTGCGACATCAGCAGCATTCAGCGAAGCAAGCGCACCACCCAAAGAATGCCCGACAAAGATGATCTTATACGTAGGCAGTGACTCTGTCAGCGCGCTCAGCGACTTGCTTACGAACGACTGTGACGCTTTGTATGCCTTTAGGAACCCCTGGTGTACCTCGGAGTCCTCCACGCCCGATGGCCAATCGTCCTTGAAGTATTTGACGTTGGTGATCCAGCCCTGAGGCGTTTTGGTGCCGCGGTATGCGACAATGATTTCCTCGTTTTTGTGATTGTATGCCATGTAGCCTGTACTGGCTACCTTTGGGTAGTTCCACGTTGCGTACACAGTGGTGCCAGCGGTTGCATTTGTTTTGCATGCACCACTGCAGCTCCATGTATCGACTTTGACATCAGCATATGCGGCATCGGCGTAGTTGGCATACTTGACAAGGTTGTCCGTGCTTGTTACTGAGATGCTTGCGCGCCTGTCGAATGGAGATGAAGGAAGGGCAGCCACAAGGAGAGCAACTGTGCCAATAGCAAGGGTTTGTAGAAGCATTTTTACAAAGTAACAATAGTCGATGAACACAAGTTTTACTTGATAATGTAGAAGCTGTGGCAGGCAAGCACAGGAATCTCAGCTTAAATAGCAATAGTTCATAAAAGCTATTTTTAGATAAGTTCTTGGTCAGCAAGAGCTCAGACTCCTTCACAAGATTCTAGCAAGTCCCTACTGGCAAGTTTGTCTCACGGTAGCATTGCCGATTTAAACCCCAGCTATTTTTAGTTCTCATTGTGGATTATCACCATGTTGCATATGATATGCACTCATAAACAGGATCTAGAGTTGCTGTCTACAAAGGCCAACACAGAACTGTTCTCATTGTAAAATCTGTATTGGCAATATCTTCGTGCATACCTATTTAAAGATACATTTTGCATAGCCTGTGCCAATTTTAGTTGTTCTGGATGGTATTGAACAGCAGCCATATCCCATGATTCAGAAAGAAAATATCCAGCTGGCTATGCATGTACAACTACAGAAAGCTACCTGGATTGAAGCCTGTTTTCCCTTCTTCCGAGCTATGATTCTTGGCGGTGTTCCCTGTGTTAACCTTCAGAGAGTCCAGTAGTTATGAGCTTTATGGAATGAATAATATGGAAATTTGCTGAGGAGAAAAAAGGGAGGATGGGGCCGTTCTGGCCCAGTGTTTATACAGGTGGGGATTTGGATCTGCACATGGTGACGAAGGGCATAGGGTTGCCCGAATGTCAACACCCTGTACTCCGCAGCTTGTGCATTGGAATTACCGCTGTCGTTGGTTATCTTGCACTCAAGGAAGCTGCCAATCAAATCCTGGATCACCTTATTGCGCTCTTTGCTATCGACATTCGGACCTGTTGACACTAGAATGCGAGACCACTCTTGCACCACCATACCGATGACCAGCCCACATAAAGCCAGACTCCAAGCCAACTGGGCACTCTCCCTTTTCTCCTGTCAGCTTTTCAGATCAGCTTTGTCTACATAGCTCGTAACTACGCATTCGATCCTGATGGTTATCAGCAATAGTTGTTTTATTGTATACAAGCCATGCGTGGAGATGAGATGGGGTTGTCAGCAGCGTATTCTCTGGTGTAGTCTTGCAGTGCGTCAATTGGGCACCCATTTCCATTTATGCTTACATGCATTCCATCGCATATCTGTGCTACGTCCTTTCTGCACCCACTGTGTGCTCCTATTTTTTTGTTCAATGGGTAGCTATTCTTCGCGTCTAGTGCCCACCTTTGATTTCGATAGCCTGAATGTGCCGCAGAACTCGGGGGCTATCACAGGATACCAACCCGGTCTAGTTTTGAACTGTAGCAAAGCGGCCAGCCGCGTACCGGGGAGAATTAGGGAGATCCTAGCAGTACTGGTCGGGCCTGTTGGGTCAACAACTTCGTCACTGTTCCGTCCTCCCGCTTAGCGTACAGGTTACAATGACTCGGCAACCAGTAAATATGCGGTATTTGGTGTTGGTCGTCCGATGTCATTCGCAGTATAAGGCCCGGGAATGCCGCAGTACTGTCACCAAATTGATTTTGCATCAAAGAGCGAGCCCGAATCTGAGCAGTAGATTGAAGGGGTTATCACGGACCTAGGCGGGGATAATCCAAAGGCGACAGGGATGGCCATCAAGAGACTGCAGACTATTGTAGACTTGCTGGACCACTCATCAGGCATGGCGATGCAGATTTGCTGGTCATATACAGCTATGGCTATTGACGCATCCATCCCATCACCATCTCAGCTGGCTCTGCACCACATTGCCAAGTTGACGAGTAACGTTCTTTTTGAGCTCTTTTCCTACCCTCGTCTGGCGCTGGCAGTAGTACAGAGCATAATGAGCACATTGCTTGAAGAACAGATTCGTCGAATTGTCGACTTTGCATTGAAGCCAGACAAACATGGTGTGTGTCACTTCTGTGATAGAGAGCAACTGTTCAAGGGGCTCAACGCGCTTATCATCAGGATTCTGGACAAGGCTGACCGCACTCGTGCGTTTTATCACTGATCCAGCCTATGACGTCGAGTCATTCTGAGAATGCGCCCAATGTACCACCAGTCGGTGTTTGCATCGCTCTATCGCTGAAATTCTGGCAGCTCATGTAATGTCTACCAGATTTCCAAGTCTCTACCCAATGACACGGAACACCAGTTGCGCTGTGTCAAGTTTATGAGGCAGATGCTGACATGTCCAGTGGCATTCTTAGCCTGTATTTCAGTGACCTTTGTAGAATTACACATTCGACAAGTTGCGTGACAGACCAGGGCCAGGATGATGCAGACGTAAAGAGCGACTGCTTGTTGATGACAATCCCAGCTCAGACATGCATAGTGCCTGTCTTCTTAATCTTAGAACTATTCATTCTATAACCCACTTCCAGAAGAGCTCAATTTCTCCATTGGCTCGGATTTGAGACAAAACATGTGCAATGAGCCATTTGAGACTATGGTAGGCGGATTCCCGGGGGAGGGGAAGCGTATTGGCAAAGAAAAAATGTTTACGATGATGTTGGTGGGAGACATGAAATGCCATCTTTATTCCCTGTATCTCCGCGTCTCCATATACACTTTTGGCCCATCCACACTCCGCACCCAACAATCAAGCACTTTTCACCAAGTGCCCCTACAATGCAGCTTCCTTCAATGCATTTATCTTCTCCTTCCGTCATGAGTAGTATAGTGCACGTACACATTGTCGTTTCAGAGATTGTTCTCTTCATTTGACGCTGCTCGTTAAATTGGCTCAAAAACTCAACCGTCCAGCGCATCCTTCTTCAAAAACTCACAGTATATGCTGACGTTAAATTTTTTTATTATCATGTCTGTCAGCTCTTACTTTAACATTGGCCACCAGCAGCTTGTGCAGTTATACCATGATATTATCTAACTACTTGAAGTTGCTTAGTGAGCGTACCACCAATGCAGTCAGCATGTTTCAACTGTAGTTAAGTGCTACTTTGAATATATCATATAAATGCTGCAGAACTTCATGGGCTACCAATATTGAATACAAGGAGGCTATTTCATAAAATTCATTATCTTCTGTGGATGGCCATCTAACAAGTCTTTACAGAGCGCACTCTATTCTTTTAGACTAAGCTGAATATCAATGAGCTCCCACTACTTGGGCTAATATTGAGGCAATAGATATCCTATTAGGCACTTTTGTCCTTGCCAAACTTTCATGCCTATGGCAGTCGTAGAAAAAGATATATAGGCAATTGGAAATTTCCGAAGACTGCAGTAATTTGGTATTGAGTTCAGGCATACTAACAATCTTTATTCTCAAATAACACTGCTAAAAGTGCAATGCTAACACAAATATAGAGTTAACACTCACACTAGTCAACGCGTAGCCGGATGAGAGACGGCTGTAAATGTCGTTGGTAACAGATATATTACTTGTAGTTGGGAATTGAAGCTCCTTAACACCAAGTGTTGTATTCAATGGGATCTGGTTTGCGTGAACCTACTTTAGCCATTGGTTTTGAATAGAGGCGGAAGGTATACAGCGAGTCTACTGAAGTCATGATAGGCGGATGTTCAAAATATGTGTATCGGCGGAGAAAAATTGCTTGGAATTGCAAGGAGTAATGATAAATGCCAACTTCATCCCTTATACTTCTGAACCTCTATTTAAACTGTTTGACTCATCTACGCTACACTCCACTGCCAAAAGTATTCCTTCCTATGCCTTAATAATACTCTTTATTAACGAATGCAGCATACTCTATTTGCTACCATTATTCATGCTATAAGAGAAAATTGTTTTTTATGAGCTTGCGGGACTGGGGACACAGCTGCATTTAGTGGTGGATTCATGGCAAAAGGTGTTGTGATGAAGACAATTACCTGCTCTCTCTGCTAGCGGCAATACCGAGGTAGAACGAAGGCTCCTCGGGCCTCTTACTCCCTGTGGAGATGAAGTCCGCGCCTGTGGGTCTCTAATTCTTGGGCTGACCCAACAGGTGTGCAAGCTGTCTCTTGTTAAAATGACATGTCTGATATAGTGCAAGTATGCATTGTTATCCCACGTATTGTATTACGCCAAGCGCTGTTTATATGAAAATTCGCAAAAAAAGAAACATGAATACACTTGAAACTCTGCACAAGTATCTGTTCTACAAGCGTAGACATTTGTCTCTGAGCCTCATAAGCTGCAACGATAGACCTACTCAATAGGTGGTGGCATACACGGGCACGACCACCAATATCAAATGTATTGGTATTAAATTCAAACAATATTATTTAATTAGCTCAGCGAAGTGCGGGTGCAAATGAGCAAATTTCAATCCCTCTCCTGCCAGCAAAGTGTCTTGCAAGTTCCTCATGGTGGGCATCGTTTACTGTGACCGAGAATAGTGTCGGCACACAGTCAACAAAGTCGCGGATCGCAATCCTATCGAAAAACTTTTCTGAAAGAAGTTCAAACTTGAGCAACTCACAGGATGGAGGGATGGGATAGACAGGGCCAGTGCTGGTGTCAATGTGTCTTCCCCTTATTGGTAGGAGCCTGCTGTAACTGTTGTTGCTAGCTGAAGGGTAATTTGTCCAAACAATGCTAGTCGAAGCAATGGTGGTTGTTTTGGGGGTGATGGCTGGCATAATGAACCTTTGCACGGCAGCTGGCATAGCACGCTGGATATTGATCGGGTAAATACTAGCATCCATGTGGCTCATGGAGTTGCACCAGATTCGTAGGTGCTGCAAGCGAGGCAACATCCACAGAATGTCCACGATATCGTCAATCGTGACTGTATGTAACGTGATGTAAAAGATGCGGAGGTTAAATAGGCGAATGTCTTCAGGCACTGCATAACGCGCACCAATAAAGTACAGTTCCTCGACGTCAGAGTCAGCAGTGAGCAAATGCGCGACTTCCTCCTTAATCGGCTTGGCAGGCCTGTGTCCGTAGGGGATACCGGCGACAATAGTCACCGATTTGGCGTGTAGGATTACGTTTGTGCTTACACGATGAAGCTCTCTGTAGTCCTCCGCAATCCGTACCGTAGAAAGCACTGGCGAGCCAAACAGAGTGTAAAAATCAGTATAGATCTGCGTAGAATCCTTGACCGATAGATCCCTAAGTCTTGGAAAGTGTACCTCAACGTCTTGTAGTAGATATGGCACCAGTCCTTCAAGCTCAGCTGAAAAGCTGAGGTCCAGAGATGTGAGATTGCTGAAATTGACCACGCCGGTCATGTCGGGGTCAAACTTTTCCCATGTCAGATCTTCATCAATATCTGTGATTATCAGCGACTCCTGATTTTCGGCACGCAGAGGCAGCACTGTCACTGGGGTTCGAGGATCCAGAACATTAAAGTGCATAATGAGGTTCCGGGTGTTGTCACCAAGCGCTGGATAGTCCCCCTCTGGGAACGGCGGCATGAGCTCTACATCCGTAGCCTGTGCCAGGTACTGGAGCTGCAGCTCTGAGTACAGCCCAAGAGGCTCAAAAATCATATCACCATCAGCGTCGCGTGCTGCCCATTCTCCAGTCAGCTCGCGAAACATCAGAGATCTGACGTTCGGCAGATGGGTTCTGAAGAAGAGGCATGTGTCACGGATCATCGCGCGCTGTTCATCAGGTGACTGAAGAGTACTACCAGCGAAGAACCCGAGTCCATACACCTCGATAGTTTCAACCGAGTTCCACACGGCCAAATCGAACTGGAGCTGCTGCAGGATCTCCAGCAGCCCGAGTGGGCACTGAACAGCATCCCGCATAACGATTTGAAGGCATCGCGTCTCCTCTGCCTTGCCAGCACGCAGACATTCAGGTATGTTGGAATACCAGTTGTGGTTCATCACTTTTGTTGTGGAGTGACACTCGGGTCGTACTGAGGGGTACGTGTGATATAGACTGTCTTGTAGAGTAGCTGCTGGACAGCCCCGTAGAAGTTGCTATTGAGGGCCGCCATAGACTGCAGCCAGCGGTATCCGCTGCCGCCTGGAGTTTTGGTGAATTTCTCTTCTGCAAGCAGCGACAGAATAGGCATGAGGATGTCTGGTGGGAGACTGTTCGCGCTCGCCAGCTTGCTGATGTTCATGGTATTTAGCTGGCAAATTGTTTTGTTCTGGTGTAAAATGGGTGAGGTATGCTTACTAAGATGTTGCAAAAAAGGTTGCGAAGAAAAGTGTTGTGAAGAAAAAGGCCCTGTTGCCCGTTGGTTGCCTATTTATCCCTGAAGTTTGAAATAGAGGATTGCTGGGTACCTTCACACAAAATACGCAGGTTTTTGTCTCATTATGAAAAGTGGGCATCACCTATACTGCCACCCAATTTATTCCACAAGTAGTCGCAAACACGGCCAGCATGCCAGAATCCATTTCCCAACTTGCATGTTGGTGGGCGTGGTGATGCTCACAAGACATGAAAACTGGTTTAAAGGGAGGGATTGGCGAGCCATGGCTGCTGGGACAATGGGTGACATCCTGCAAGTGGGCGATGCATGCCATCCCCTATGTTGCTTCTCCGCCCTCTCACTCTCGCACTCGCTGGCCCAGGTTGCCCTGACAGGAACACATTCATTCATGAACACCATACTTTAATTGATTTTTCTCGGCGTTCTCGGCTTTGGGAATCGCCTGTCCATTTTTGGCACAGCCTACCACCCATGTGTCTTTGCTGTTTTGGCGCTGTCTATTTCAGTGCTGCATATAGCCCGATGACAGAGCATTGTTCACATTTTGTAATGGCTTGGCCATCCGGCAGCCGCTTAATGTTCGGGAATGACTCGCCTTAAGCAAGCGGCTCGTAGGAAAATACAGGTCTAGGGCTGAACATCTCGCCATCTGTAATGTTGACTAGTATAGACTCTAAATACTCAGGGGTGATTGTCATGAACCCTGTCGCTCAACCACCAAACAGAGCACACAGCTAAATAATCAGAGCTCTTTTCGTATGGCTCATCCTTGGCATATCACTCCTTTTGCCAGACATAACTGCAAGCAAGAGGACATTTCCTGGCGGAAAACAAAGCAGCGATAGCCAGACAAGCCAACATCCAGCTACAGAAACTGTGCCCAGGATGACGAACGTCGACCTCTCCAATGTTCACCATGGTCGACAATGCAGTGTCGATCTCGGTGTGCAAAGGGGATGGGGCTGCCAGCTATGCCACAGCAGCAAAGCCTGGCCAAAATATCCTGGTCGTGTTCCGACAGAAGGCAGCGGGCATGTATTCGCAATTGCTAGAGACAAGTGGACAAATTCTTCAATGGAAACATCCGACAACAGACCCCGTGTGCAGACAGATGCAGACAGCGACAGGTGCTTCATCCCCAGCTTGTCCAAATTGACAGCTGGGCACATGAGGTTTGTGACGTCGGCGAATGCAGCCCGTCCACCTTCACCCATAGAATCAATGCGATTATGTGTACTAGATTCGTTGCAAGCAAATGTACAATTGCCTCATGGAATCTGCCCACTATTATAGTCAGTGTTGAATCGTGCACCTGTATCATTGCGAGTTCCGTATCGTATATATGCGAGGCTCACATCGACCAGCGATCACCTTTTTCTTCTCCATGTCTTTATTTTTGGGGGAATATGACTACTAAAAACAGTTAGCTGTCAACACGGATTCCTGCAGCATTTGAGGGAGGGCTGGGCACTACCACAGACACATGCATGGGAGCTTATATCAAGCCATGGGCCAATGTCGGTGCAGGTGTTGTTGACAACAGGGCTGTCCTTCTTATTCTACACCAGGCCGGGCACCTTGGATTCTTGTGTTCTGGCCTCGTCGGCATTCCAGATGGCGAAATACACACCCTGTTGTGAACATCGATAGGCATGGGACGCTGGTGTGCCATTTGAAGTTTCGCTGTGCTCCGACATTGCGCAGTAGCGATGCTGGGACAACAAACTGCGACCAACAAGACCTTCCGCCATACGTACCATTAACTGGTGCCAGCTTCGCTCGTTTTGCTAGCGGCTCAGGTGAAAGCTGTGTCCACCAAGCCATTTTCGAAAACGTGTCGTCACCAGATACAAATTGTGAGTGCAAATTCCCAGAAGCCGCCATGCGTCTTCTCTCCCTTTGCTCTTTTTGGCTGTTGTTTTTGCTCTTTTTCTTCAATTTACACTACTTTTAAATGACAAAATCCAGACGGCGCAGTGGTGCTGATGCAGCGTCGAATGAGCTAGGACCGCTTCCAGACCTTGACAGCGATAATGGAACCGGCGCCACGGCAGTGTACAACAGTAGCGAGCAGGCAGAAGACATTTCTGGTGACAATGACATTGAAGACGAGGAGTATGATGACGACGAAGAGTATGACGAGGACGATGAAGAGCCAGCACTGCGCTACAAGCGGCTGGGTGGCAATATACAAGCACTGTTTGAGAAGGACACCGCGAGCGCGCTGATAGCGTCAGACCGGTTCCTGGTCCTGGGCACGCACTGGGGCCACGTTGTGATTCTGGACTTTGAAGGCAACGAGATTAAGAGGTGGCGGGCGCACTCGGCCACAGTCAACAGCGTCAGCATCGACCTGGACAACGAGTACGTGGGTAGCGCGGGCGACGACGGGCGCGTGGTAATCTGTGCATTATACAGCGACGAGATTATGGCAGTGGACTACAGCCGACCAGTGAAGGCAGTGGCCCTGGACCCAATGTTCAGCCGCAGGGCCAGCCGGCGGTTCGTGTCGGGCGGCACCTCGGGCCAGCTGATTATGAATGAGAAGAAGTGGTTTGGCAAGAGCGACACAATTCTGTTTACCAGCGAGGGCCCGATCCAGACCATCCAATGGCAGGACAATTTGATTGCGTGGGCGTGCGATGAGGGAGTCCAGATATACGATACGGAGCACGGCACCAGGATCTCGCAGATTGCGCGGCCCGAAGGCAGTCCGCGCGCCGACCTGTTCCGGTGCCGGCTGCACTGGCGGGATGCCCGCACGTTGATTGTGGGCTGGGCCAACTGCATTCAGATCGTCGAGATGCGCGAGCGTCTGCAGGCAGCGGGCGCCGGGGATGGTGGTGTGGGACCATCGATGTTTGCCGAGATCTCGGTGCTGTTCCGCACCGACTTCATCATATGTGGCTTGGCTATGTACCGCGACCAGTTCCTGGTTCTATCGTATGGCGACGAGGAGCTCGTCAATAGCACCATGGCAGAACGCGATGACCAGGTCCCAGACGAACAGCACCAGCAGAGGTCGCGCAATGCGCAGCCACCGGAGCTGCGCATGATCAACCGTAATATTGAGGAGGTGTCCAGCGACGTGCTGGCGCTGGAGGGATTCCAGCTTTTGCAGCCCAACGACTACGGATTCGCATACTGCACTGCACGCACACACTCAACGCAGGCCACGCCCAGGGCCGATAGCGATGCAGCATCGGCCCAGCGCGAGCCATCGGTGCCCTTGGCTGAGGTCGATACATGGTTTATTCTGAGCCCGAAGCAGTTGGTGTCGGTGCATCCGCGCGGGCTCAAGGACCATGTGCAATGGCTGACCGAGCGCGACGACTACCGCCAGGCTCTGCTTGACATCGAGGAGGCGTACCGCGGCGACGGTGCCTGGGCAATGTACCGCGACCAGATCAAGGAGGCAGAGTACCAGGGCATCGGGCAGAGCTATGCGCAGATGCTGATGGACGACGGCAATACGAAGGAGGCGGCCGAGGTGTGCGCGCGTGCGCTGCCGCATGTCAATACACCGAGGCTGTCGAGGTGTGGGAGTCGTGGGTGTTTGCGTTTGCTGAGGCCAATGCGCTACAGGCGATTGTGCCGTATATTCCGACCGAGGGCCTGAAACTGACCAGCACAGTGTATGAGATGGTGCTGGGGCTCATGATGGCCACAGATGTGCCAGAGTTCAGACGTCTGGTCTTCACCTGGCCGTCGTCCCTGTTCAACGCCTACAGCGTAGTGCTGGCGGTCGAGGACCACCTGGAAAAATCGACCAGGGGGTGAGGATGTGGACCAGCTAAAGACCAGTCCTGGCGTTTCTGTATGACAGACTCAATCAGCCGTCCAAATCGCTGCTGTACCATCTGCAGCTGTTCGCAGAGGGCGTTCTGGAGCGCGTGCGCAACGAGAACCTGTTTGGTGCGATCCGTGACAAGGCCGAGCTGGTGATGCTCTACGACGACCATACGCTGGCGGACCAGGAGGAGGTATCACTGAAGGACAGATGCGAGGCTGCGGGCGTGCAGCTCCTGACTGACAACACCGATGCGATTCCATCGGCCAATGTGGTCAAGCAGCTGGTCAATGCACCTCGACACCTGCACATCTACCTGCACTCGCTGTTGACCAAAGACCCGCATTTAGGCGCGCCCTTCGCGGACCTGCAGGTAGAGCTTTATGCCGAATACAACCCGGAGAAGCTGCTAAACTTTCTGCGCATCAGCACGTACTATTCGTTCGACAAGGCGCTGGAGATCTGCGAGGAGCGCAATCTGGTGCCCGAGATGGTGTTCATTCTGGGGCGCATGGGCGATAACCATCGGGCGCTGATGCTGATTATCGAGCGGCTGCAGGATGTGCCCAAGGCGATAGAGTTCGCCAAGGAGCAGAGCGATCCGGAGCTGTGGAACGACCTGCTGATGTACTCGCGCGACAAGCCAGAGTTCATCCTGGGCCTGCTGGAGCTCGGCGGCACCCACATCACCCAACCAAGCTGATCCGCAACATCCCCTCGGAGCTCTCGGTGCCAGGCATCCGCAGGGCGCTGACCAACGTCCTGCACGACTACCATCTGCAGGTCGAGCTGTGCATAGACTGCAAGCACGTGCTGAATGGCGATGTCGATGTGCTGTCGGATGGCCTGCGTCATATGCAGCACCAGGGCCTGGGCATCGAGAACGACCAGATGTGCCTTGTCTGCCAGCTGCCGCTCGAGGACCTGCCCAGGGGCTCGGCGGTATTGGCGTTCTGGTGCGGCCACATCTTCCACGACAAGTGCATTTTGCATCCGGACGTGTTGGCCA